TGGGTGGGCAGACCCCCCGCCCACCCCGCCCGGGCACCCCCGCCACTTCCCACAGCTCCCTTTGGCTGGGAATGGCGAACCGCGGCCACTAGGAGCTGCGGGGGGCCATGCCTGCAGATGGTCAACGTAAACAAAATGTCTCGCCACCCATCAGTGGATTACCCTGACAGGCCATGTGCCAAAGGTTGCCAACCCCTGGCTTAGATCCTCAAAGGTATTTAGGCACATAACTCCCATTGAAATCAGTGGGAGCTAGGCACCTCAATACCTTTGATGATCTGAGGCTATGTACCCAGTGTTCTCGCCTCTATAAACAAATGGATGTGAGGGTGTGTCGGCCTACTCCCGCCTCGATGGGTTGGGCTGGAGAACTGACTGGATTCAGAAAGACAAAGATGTAAGAGGGGAGTATGTTGTTCCTTGTAAAGTCTGTAGCAACGTACTCCGCTCCTACCAGCACAACAGGGGAGCACCAGAGTGACTGTGTCTTGGAGGGGTGTCTCTGGGGCTATTCCTCTAGCTGACCTATCACCTTTTGCTCGGGGCTGGGCCTAAAGACACAATCTATCCCTAAACAAATAAATGTAAGTTCCTGAGCTGCTGGCTATTGTGTGGAAAAGAAACCTCAGGGGGCAAGCACTAAGATGCTGTTCTTCTTTGGAGAGCTGCTCCTCTGACATAGGGGCTCGCTATGGCTTTGTTCTGAAACTAATCAAACTCTTTGTCTCTGCCATCCCCTAGCTGATCACGACCCCCACGGCCGACACCACCATGTACGTGCAACAGCGAGACGAATACCTGGAGAGTTTCTGCAAGATGGCCACAAGGAAAATCTCAGTCATCACAATTTTCGGACCATGAACAACAGCAGCATGAAGATTGACCACTTTCAACTAGGTTCATTTTTTTACATATTTATTTCTCTCCTGTCTCTTTTTTTAAGGTGGGCCGAACATGGGGGAGGGAAGGGAGAAACCCAACTGGGGTTAAAATCTAAGAGAGATCCTTTGTTGTGGCAACTTCCCCCGCCTACTGCCCGCACTTTGTATTTACATAGCTGTCTCTGGTATTTCCCATGTTTAGGTTTCCAACACTGTAAGGTGAAATGTGTGGTAGTTTCTAACGCCAGTGAAAGAGTAGAAAGCAGAAAAGTGTGACCGGGGGAGGGCAGGACGATTATTTGGTTCAGGCCTGTAGACGTCTCATGTATCCATCTCTTTGGGTAACTGAATAGTTACATTTCCGTGATATCACTGGATTTGTTTTGCAGACCATCAGCAGCAAGTGGCCAGCTACAGCCTATTATGCTTTAGGAACTGCCACAATAAATTGGCCAGTGTCACACACAGGAGTCATTTCACAACGGAGGGGGAAATTGGTTTCAATTAAATAAAAAGTTACTCACAACTCAGACCAACCCAACTCCCATTCTGAAGTTCCAAATGGTTCCCTTCCTGTTGCTGAATGTTACATTTTTCTCCTCCCTTTGCACTTGGTTTGGTTGGAACAGATTTGGAAGCACCCTTCCAAAATGCCATGCAAAAGGCTTTCCTCACACACATGGGCTATGTGGAAGCAGAGAAAACCAGGACAGACAGGAAACCTTACTAGACAGCTATTGTGTCAGAGTTCCTTCCCTTCTCTGAATCAGCTCTCTCCTCTCTAGCAAATGTCTGATTTTAGCATGCCCCCAGAATGAGTGTTCTCAGGCATGGTCATTGCAAGGGTGTGCTTTTCAGTATTTTCCCCTCTCTGTTAAACATGTTTTGCCTAGAGATGGCCCCCAACCAAACAGTGCAAAAATGTGGGGAAGGAAGTTTGAATCTGGTGCTGAGCACAGCTTTAGTTTACTTATTGTGGTGTGGATATTCTTTTGGCTATCTGGAGCCTTTTCATTCTCTTAGAAGGGGCTCAAGCAAATGTGCTTTCTTTACTCATAAAGCAATGTACAACCAGCCTGGCTACTTTGGGTGGCTGGTGTACAGTTGTTCAGCTCATGGTACTATGCACCACCCCAACTGTCAGTGAATGAACCCAGGGTTCTTCTAGATACTTTGTTCAGCCCATGCATTTTCCACTAAGCATCTAAACCAGCTACACACACCCTCTGCTGCCTTCTTTAAGGGGGGCATCTTCAAAGCGCCAAATGAGAGCTGGGTCTCCAATTCCCTTAGGCAGCTTTGAAAATCTGAGTGTACAAGTTCAGGTCCTGATGCAAAGCCTACTGAACTCAGTGGGAGTCTTTCTGTTGACTTCAGTGGGTTTTGGAGCAGGTCCTTAGTTCCCACTCCAGCAAAGTACTTAAGCTTGTGTGTAACTTTAAATATGTGAATAGTCCCATTGATGTCAAGTAGGGCTACTCCCGGGGTGTAGTCCTGAATGGGCAAGTACTGGTAATATCAGAATGCCCCAAGCATGGGAACACCCCTGCCAGCATGGCCTCGGACGCACAGAGTATGCAAGGTCACGCTGTGCAGAGGATGCCATTTTGCTCTACAAAATGGTATCCTCTATAGGCCACGACCTCGGACGCATAGTGCATGCGAAGTTATGCTATGTGTAGGATGCCATTTTGAGAACAAAATGGCATCCTCTGCACAGCGTGACCTTGCATACTCTGTGCGTCCGAGGCCATGCTGGCAGGGGTGTTCCCATGCCTGGGGCATTCTGATATTACCAGTACTTGCCCATTCAGGACTACACCCCGGGAGGAGCCCTGCTTGACAGCAATC